TTTTTGCCTTTTTTTTTATTATTATTTTTACAGCCCAATAACCAATGAAAAAAAAAAAATTCTTCGCCACACCCGGTCCCCAACTGCCCCTCCACGCCCTCGGCCTCTCCGCACCCCCTCCCGCCCACTAGGGGGACCCGTCCGACAGCACTTACGACCCCATCCGTACGGCCGTACGACAGGGGCCCCGTACGTTGTACGGCGTGTTACACAAGTCTATGCTGTTAAGAAGTGGCATCATCACTTGCACGGTCACACTTTCACCGTTTTGATGGACAACTCTGGCCTCGCCGCCTTCCAGACCAAGCCTAAGCTCACTTTTCGTCAGGCTCGTTGGTGGCGCGACCTCTCCGAGTTCGATTTCACCATCAAGAAGATTTTCGGCGAAAGCAATCGTGTAGCAGATGCCTTATCCCGCCGCCCCGACCTTCAGTGCGTGGATCGTCAGCTATCTGCTATTTCAGTTTCCACCATCCACCCCGCCTTTCTGGATGAGTATCGCCGCGCATACACCCAGTGCCCTGAGTTTCAGTCCATCTACACTAACCTACAGGCTGGCAAGTTTGTCCCTAACTTCCAACTCGATCCCTCTAGACTCCTATACTGGTTTGGTCGCCAAGGTACCCGTACTCCTCATTTATGTGTGCCCTTTACTGGTTAGCTCCGTGTTCGGGCCGTCGCTAAGTGTCACGACCAGCGCGCCGTCGGTCATCTCGGTGGCTTCAAGACACTTGACCGCCTTTACCGCCATTACTACTGGGAGCACCGTCGTCCCTTCACTAAGGAGTATGTCTGCACCTGCAGGATCTGTCAAGAGGCCAACATTCCCAACCACCCCCCCTATGGTCTTCTTCAGCCCTTACCCATTCCCACTCAGTGTTGAACTTCTGTCTCCATAGACTTCATCGGTCCGCTTCGTCCCCCTACCCCACGAGGCCATGACGCCATCTTCGTCGTTGTCTGTCGGCTGACTAAGCATGCTCACTTCCTCCCTTGCAAGTATGCTAGTTCCGCCAAAGACATCGCCTCCCTATACTTTAACCGCACTGTCATTCATCATGGTTTTCCCACTAACATCATCTCTGATCGCGATCCCCGCTTTACTTCTTACTTCTGGCGTGGACTCCTTGATCTATGGTTCCGAGCTCCGCCTCTCCTCCTCCTATCACCCCCAGTCAGATGGATAGACTGAGGTCACCAACAAAACTCTTGGGAGTATCATCAAGAAGTTTGTTGAGAATGACTCTGATTGGGATCTGCATCTTGATCACGCAGAGATTGCTTATAACCATGTTATTTCACCTGCCACTGGTATGTCTCCCTACTACTGTGACTTGGGATACCATCCTCGTGTCCCATTTGACCTTCTCCGTTCATCTCAGATCCATCCCGACACCAAATGCCCTGCCCTCGATGACTGGGTAAAGGAGATGGATGCGCTTCTTAGCAAGGCTCGTGAGAGCATTGCTAACTCCCAGGCTCGCATGGCCACTCGCGCTAACCGCTCTCGCATCGACCATCCCTTCAAAGTTAGCGACGAGGTTCTTGTCGACGCACGTCACTTCCAACCCGAAGCTGACACGCTTCGGAAATTCAGACGTCGATATATTGGATCATACACCATTTTTGCACCCACCGGACCCAATCATGACTATCCGGTGAGCTTCAAATTGAAGCTCCCCGATTCGATGTACCTCGCTAACTTACATGACGTGTTCCATTTATCTCTTTTGCGCCCCTTCAGACGGTCTCCTCCCGAGTTTTACGGTCGACCTTAACCCTCGTCCTTCTCCCATCATCATTGAAGGTCACGAGGAGTTTGTCGTCTCTGATATTGTGTCCCGGCGTATGACTGATGGTGACCCTCCCCGCCTCGAGTATCTCGTTCGATGGAAGGGTTACCCTGACGAGGAGTCTACGTGGGAGCCTCTCGAACACCTGAAGCATGCTATGACTTTCATGCGTGCTTACGATCGTGCTCATCCTTTCTCTTCATCATCATCCCCTCCTACTTCTCGTCCTTCTACTGACCCATCTACTTCAGCGACCACTAACATCCCGCCTCCTCCATCGATGGGTCCTCCTGCTCCACCGGTACCTACCCCAGGTCCTCCTTCCCTTGTGGACGTGGTTCCGCCTGTTGTTGCAGCTGAGTCCTCGCGCCCTCAGCGTACCCATCGACTTCCTTCCCGATATCGTGAGTGATTTTAGCCCCCTATACGCTCTTTATCTTTTACCATTCCTGGACACTTATGCAGCAGCTCCCGGTTTCGGCTTCTACATTGGACTTCTACATCGACTTCCGATCTCAGTGCTTCTTTTCAGTTCCAGAGTACATCTCGCATTGTTTCGAACTTCTACTCGGTTTCTGCATTACTCCTACTTTATCCTAGCTACTTCGACTCGACTTCAGTTTGGAGACTCGTCAGTTGAGTTACCCTCCAGTCGCATGATGACCCCTATTTTCCCTGTCTATGTGGGTGTGTCCGTTTGCCGCTCTTCTGCCTTGCCTTATGTTGCGCGCCCTCCTCTGGAGTGTACGCTTTCTTTGCTCGCGGCTTTTGGCCACATGTCTATGCCGGCATAGCCCTCTCTCCTTCCAGGCTCACCTTAGGTGTGCTCCCTTGTGTGATTGTTATTCCCTCTTCAGATGGCGGTACCCGTTTGATGGTTTCCATTGAGCCCGGTGTCGTGCTGTTACTCTCCCTCTGAGCCTGATGACCCTACCTACTTGTGTGGGTGCCCCCTTGGAGTTTACTCTAAGAGTTGTATCTGCCCCCTTCCCACCTATTCCTACCTCTGTCATGCGACTGAGTTCCTTTCTCTTCTATTAAGGTATTGTGCATGTGTACAGGGCACATGAGATTGTGCCACATTCTTTTTGACGTAGGACATTGACTTACCTATTCTTTGGCCTTTAGGGCCCTGGAGTTGATTTATATTCAGCCTATTTGGCTTATGAGACATTTTTCCTCTTTCTTGGCCGACACAGGTCAGACATTTTTCTCTTTCTTGGCCGACACAGGTCAGATATTTTTCGTTTTTTTGGGTCGACTCAGACCACACATTGTTGCATAGGCTTAGTCTGCATTGCATCCCTTTTCCTGCATGGAGCTTGCTCCGCATCTAGGATCGTTTTTTTGCCGTTCCTTTTGGGTTTCCGCTATTTCAACGGATAGCGTGTTTGATGTATCGCTTGATCCATTCACAGGTCCGAGGATCGTGTAGCGGTACCCCTACGGCCCGGCAGTGAGGTCAGACCAGTTTCAAGCCGTCGGCCTGACCCTGGTCCGGTACCAGGTTGTTCCGTACCTGGACCTAGGCCGGTATATCACTTCGGCCTAGACCCAGGTCGGGGGATTCATTCATTCAGTTGTTCGTTCGTTCAATCTGGCCGGACTGGACCTTCACTCAGCTGCTTCTTCTCGTGTGTGTCCATCTCTCTCTCTCTCTCTCTCTCTCTCTCTCTCTCTCTCTCTCTCTCTCTCTCTCTCTCTCTCTCTCTCTCTCTCTCTCTCTCTCTCTCT